ACATGAATTCCAGTGATAACTTATCTCGTTCTGAGTTTATTTTCACAAAACAGGTAAAAAAAATGAAATAAATAATATAGAATATTAATTATCAATGAACGATATGACATATGGACAAACCAAAACTCCACATAGACTCTGGTGGGTGTCTTCATCATCATTAGGTCAAACTAAAGTTCCACTGCACTGACTCTACTGACAATCTTTTACTCATTATAATAAAACGCTTCTAGATTTCAGTAAACGCCACCATATATGAAATGTTTCTGTTTCTGCTGTTCTTGGTGTTGCTCTTCTTGCAGTCGAGTCAAACACCACTTTCCACTCGCAAAAATCTTGAACCGCAATGCATTAAAGTATATTACTTGGATAGTGACCATCAGTTGTGTACTACTTTTCACAATGCATTGTGGGATACAATGACTGGACCATACAGGGTACGATTATGCTCAATCAGAATTCGGTCATTGCTGCAAAGTGGTGTGTCCCTTGTTCTTGGGTTTAACCATGTAGTGGTTTATTCCTGTAACTCATACATCAGCTGCCTGTACCTACTATTTTTAAATGTACTCTTACAATGTGATGTGCATTGTGTGTGTCATTGCCCAAGGAGACCACATGAGGGAGGTAGCGTGCCAGCGCTCATCTCTGTCAATACTCATTTGTTTGTTGTCTCCAGGTCTAAGTCTATTTACCATTATAGTACACTAAATAGTGAATGAGTTCAGACAGCCTGAATATTTATGTCTGTCCAAATTAGGAGGAAACACTCTACCTCTGCATCGGACTAACATGAACCCTTTGCCGCGATTGTTTGAATTGAGGAACAGTTGCATCTAAAAGGCTCTAGATCACGTCCACGCAATGCTTATGCTCATGCATGAGCAACCATAATTACATCGTCTGTTCATCAGTATGTTGTTCTCCACTCGTTTGTTGACATTGTGATTCTGTTGAACTACACGTAGCATTGATTTAAAGGCAAATATTCTCATCATATAGCGGACACTGTGGCTCCGTCCGCTACTTCCTCGTCTTTTTTTAAAGTCATGTCTTACCTCAGGACCATGGCCCTTTATGAACCTTTTATTCCATTTCTACTTATATTTGTTTATATTTTTTCCACACAGAACACAGTCTATGAAGGAGTCTATCATGCTGAGCATCCAAACATCGTTACCTTCTGGGAGGTGTTTGAGAAACTGACAGCCGAGGATAAGAAGAAATTCCTTTGTAAGTGTTACACGTGACAGTGATTATCATCATTAATTCAAATTGAAGAAGATCAACACGATTTCCTTCTTATTTTTTGTTTCAAGTGTTTCTCACCGGCTTCGACCGCCTTCCCTTCCTGGGTATGGAGAGCATCAGGATGAGAGTCGATGTCCTTCCTGATTCCAATGAGACCCATCGGCCAGAGTCGCACACCTGCTATAGTTTGCTACGACTGCCCCTCTACCGGACGAACCCGATCAAGGAGAGGATGCAGACCAAGCTCCTGCAGGCTATTCGTCACAAAGGGGGCTTCGGGAAAAAAGACACTGCGGAATAAAGTTATGAAGGCTTATTTTAAAAGATTGCACATATTTGACAGTTCTTGTTTTTATTTCTTAAACCTGCCAAATGAAACATCTTTATTTTATACTATTTAAAGATACACTAAGTTAAATTAATACTCTAGAGAGGTTTGACAGTATCATGTTTTCTTTTGGTTCTTGTCTTGATTTTTAATCTCTTTCAAAACTTTCTGGTTTTACATGTTAAATTGTTGGAGAATAAGATGTACATAAAGTCACTGCTTCATCTCTGCTTTAGGTCTATTATGTTTGACTCTTTATTATTTCACACATTCTCAGGATGTAGTACTCTTTTTGTTTGTATTATAGGAGTTTGAAACAAGCGCAGATATTTTGCTGGCTAATACTTATTTAATTTACTTTAATAATCCCAGAGTATTGAGGCCCGAAATACACACATGCACAAACTATGGACATGCATTAATGCAGAGATGTCAGAGGGAGCTGCTCACAGGGAGCCCTCCTGAGCTGTAGGGGCTTCAGTGCCTTGCTCAAGGGCACCTCACAGTACTCAGGACGGGACCTGGCACTTCTTCAGCAACCAGACCAATTTGCATACCGTGATCCAACCCAAGTCCCACAGACTGAGCTACTGCCACACTCAGTTTAGTCATTATACTCTGCTATTCTTCAAGAATGAAATACAATGTGACTCCTTTTACCAGATTGTGAAATGGAAAATAAAATGAAGATGACTAGAGATGGGATCTTATATCAGTGTCGGGTCCGGTATTGACATAATTTACGTATGGCACATCAGACTGATGGCATCAATCCACATCACTGATCTTTGAAGGCGTTCAGACTGAACTATAAGACGTGTACACAAGTCGTCTCCATGACGACGTTCAGACAAGATGGAACAGCTCCTTCTATATGATCAAAAGTGCAATTCTTACAATTCAGTTTAAAAGCTTTACTTTGAAAACCTGACAGTTGTTGCTGCTTCCTGTTTGTATGTGAAGCCAGCACATTGCAATGCAGGGCTTACTGTTGTGTAACCTCACCAATAATACCAATAACAACAAAATGATAATAAAAACATCCCAATCAGTATCGTTAAAGGATTGGAACTGAAAAAAAGTGGACTGTTGCGTCTCTAATGATGACTCACAATCCCATTGTGATTGTATTTAATGCTTTTGGACTCTTGTGCAGTTAAATAAATTCTGAAAACACTGCTCACATAAAATCTTCATCTCACCATATATTGAAATGTTAACCTTTTTTATGTTTTTACCAAAAATGTTCATATTTTTAAATGAGTGTCTCTCTTTGTGAACGTGTATGTGTATTTGAGAAAGTGTGATAAGGAGGACAATCTCCTGGTAGCGTAGGGTATTTGCAAAAGTGCACCGAATATTTAATGTGTCTGTCAGTTATCGTCAGAATACAAGGAGACCATGTGTGAAACATTTCACTGAGATTGTGAAATTTGCATGAACATTTGGATATATTCACTGAGGGAATAAAAGTAGCCGAACGGTGTGCTGAATATTTGTTCAATAAAATATGATAAACTTTGACACGACAAGGAAAATTCAGAGGATGGAGAGAATTTAGGGTGTGTGAGCTTCATTTTACTAACCAAATAACCACCTTCTTTTATCTGTAGTGGACATTTCCTCTGGTCATTTTGATAATGTCTTTGACATTTAGTCGTTAAAATCCATGCTAAAACATTCAAAGCCCTCAAAACTGGAGGGTTTTTTTTACATGAGGTAATGTAGGTTGAACTTTGAACATAGTTTTATATTTTCCAGATCTTGCACAGCCATAGTTCAGATAACTTGAACTATGGCTGTTCAAGCTCTCAGCATCACAGACAAGCAGCTGGGGTTCAACATTTCTGGCAGCTCCCATGTTAACAAGGAGAGGTTTGTAGAGACGGTTATGGTGAGAATTGGTTATTCTTCTAGGAAAAAATTGAACACGAGAAAATAATATGAACAACATACTCTATGCAGGTATTTTACACCTCCATCATCCAGTTTGTTCTCTGCACCTCCATCACTGTCTGGTTTGGATCTGCAACCAAAACTGGACAGACACAATCTGCAACACACAATCAGGTCTGCAAAAAAAAAATCATAGGTGCCAACCTGCCCCCCATCCAGCATTTATACCAGTCTGGGGTCAGGAAACAGGCAGGTGGCATCACTTCAGACTCTTCACTCCTCACAGACCCACCGTGAATGTACATGAGAATATTTCAACTCAATAGGGTCAATAACTTAACTAGTGCAGACCTTTATTGTCAATACTGTAAACACTCTCTACCTCATGTAAATTAACTGTCTGTTACATAATAACACATTTATTATCATGTTTAACTCAACATTTTTGCACCTCTGCACTATTATCTCATTTAGAACTGTACATATCAGTCGTTGCTCATTTTGTGTTTATTGTTGATATTTATGTTGTACTTTTTGTACATTTAGAGTACAGTTCACCAAAGTGTGTTTGTGAGCATAACTGGACAATAAAGCTGATTCTGAACATCTAACTTAATTCTTTTAAACAAATTCCTTTAAAATGTTTTATTTTTAAGAATACAAACAAAGACATTTCTGTCCATCAATGAATTTAAAGAATACTCCTGCTAATTTAGCTGAAGTGACTTTTCTTTATTTCTTTTATTAAAAAGAGTATTTGATAAGTGATTTCAAATTTGCACATGAAAATAACTTTGTAGCCAATGGGGTTGTATGGATACACGTCATGAGATGATTGGTGGTTGAGGTTTAACAGGACGCTCTGAAAACATTTAAATTGCACCAATGTTCTCCACGAGGATATTCACAGAAAGATGGGTGGCATGACATGTCTTCTGCTTTTACTCTGTGCTGGTGAGTGGCTAATGTTTTCTTTTCATGTGTACTGGTACTTAACTGTCATAGTCAGCGTGCTTTTAACAGAATTCAACTTCCTCCAGAAAGCTAGCACACTTGATTTCACCATGTCCAAACTCTGAACAACAGTTATTCTCTGTGACAATCATTGTTCCAACTCACAGTCACCTGGTGGGTACCTCTCTCTTTCAGGTGTGACAGCGAGCACAGCTGTGGATCTACAGAAGAGAATCGTTGGAGGTAGACCATGTCAAACACGTGATTACCATGTTTATGTGGAAGGATATAATGGGACTGTTTACTTCATGTGTGGTGGCTCTCTGATCAGTGACCGCTGGATTCTGACTGCAGCTCACTGCTTGAAGAGGCGAGAGAGAAAAAAAGACTAAAATGATATTCTCCTGTTAAAAAATGTACTGTGGTATTCCTGATAACATTCCCAACATGAAGATGGCATTGCTTATATTCAGTAATGACAAACCTGATATGAAAATGTGTTCTCAGTCATTCACTGATGTGTTTATTCACCTCTATTTGTAGACATGTAACTGCATATGTAGGTCCAGGTCTTATAGAAATGGATATCACACAAAATAAGACCTTCAAAGAAAACGGAAATGGAAGAGAACATGACCTCATGCTGCTGAAGCTACGTGACTCCACTCAAATTCAACATGTAAAATTTCCAACCACTACTGAATGTAATCAACGTAACAAACTGTGAGTATTGATGTCACCTCTTTAATTCATCTCAAAACTCAACTTTAAGGAAAAATAACAAAGCAAAACAAAAGTATGTGAAAGTTGTTAATTTAATTTTCTTGTTCTATTATGTTTCACACAAACAGTCGAGATTGCAGATTATGCATCCAAGTTCATGGGTCCAAATAATGAAAGAGGTAAAAAAATATATATATAAAGCAATTACTTATCATTAATACATTTACTCTCTTTCTTTTCATCACTTTTTCTTGTTTTCTTGGTAGAATTACAGCACTTTTAAAAACACATTATTATTATTTTTTGAACAAACTTAAACATCAAATATGTTTAACAGAAAAGTTTCCTCTTCTCAAACTCAACGCAGCAAATTCAAGCTCTGTTTAGTTCAGGAGACTTTTAGTGAAGGCATACTTATTTATTAACTCTATAGGATTACATGTTTGAATTCATTAAAAAGTATTTTTAAAAATCTGAGTCCAATGAGGAGTTTTCTTAACAATGTTAACAATGATAAAGTTTTATTTTAATTAAATATGTTCTTTTTCTATTCTCTAGGAAATGACAGACCAACAACTCTGCAGTGTGCAGATGTAACGGAGTTAATGATTCCACTTGCCATCACTTGGCATAGAATGTCTTTATTTGACTATTTCTATTGTTTAAATACTGTTTATAATTAATTCTAATTAATTAATTAATTCTAATTAATTCTAATTAATTAATTAAGAGTGGCTGTGAGAGACCGTATGTGCTTCTGTTGTTATCAGATTAAACGGCGTGCTGGTGCCAAAAGTAAAAGTGTCTGCCTGATTCATCACACAACGCAAGAGAGAGTACACAACCGCTACAATGGTGCCGTGACCCGTTCTTCAAGGAGGGGATTCTGCCGCAACGTCAGCTTCAGTGCGCCGCTTTTCTGAGTGTTTCAAGATCAACTTCACGATGGTGCAGTGAGTTGTTTATGGACTGAGTCATAGCTCGAACTTTATATTAAATTTAAACAGAGGAACAAACGAGTTGTTTATATGTTGTGAATGTGTGTCGTTTTATACATGCAGCTGTCTTTTTGTGTTTTAATGATTATTGTGGAGTTTAATGGTGAATGTGATTTTTATTTAGGAAAGGTATAATTAAGGGAGTGGACCGAACTCAAGTAATTCCTGCTAGGTTTAC